CATTGCCAACCCGCGCGCAGTCATACGGGCCTACAGAACGTACAGAGACTCAGATGGTAAAGACACCCCCGATGAGCTGATGGAGTTACTTGTTGCTGTCAACAGCATTCCCATTGCAAGTGCTGAATGTGAGCGCGGATTTTCTCAAATGAACTTGATTTGCACTCCCAACCGTAGCTCTTTGCTCACATCCACCATGTCATCTTTATTCTTCCTAAACCTTGTTGGACCCCCCCTGGCTAAATTCAATCCAGTCCCGTACATGAGGTCCTGGGTGGCCAAAGGACACAGAACTGCCACAGACACACGCAGTAAAAGCAGAAAAAAAGAGATAGAGGACAATCCGGACATGCTCGTGATGTGGGGTGTTTTAAACAACTAAATATGGTGAGCAAACATACTGTCTATTAATAGGCCGCCGTGCCAATCTTTGAATAGGCCTAATAAATATTTTTTTTACACGTTAAACCTGTTGAGAAATTAATTGCTGGCTGTATACTGAAGTCCCACCTGTGGTGATGTGGGCATTTGCCTATGTTGTGCGTACTAGCCTAAAAAATTATAAATTATCGTCATAACATTTATACCATGGATACTATTTGAAATTGAGGCTTGTAAGTCCCACAGCGTTGCAAGTGGACATTTTCATGTTGTTTTCAGCACCTTTTCTGTATACGTTCCGGGACCTGTACGCGTCTCGTCATCCCTGAGCTGTCGTATGTACTTTGCGTTCCGGCACCTTATGATTTACAAATTAAGCACTGTATATGTTCCAATGCCTACTGTGGAGGATATCATAAGGCCTTGAAGCAATCAAATGTAAAACACAATATTTATGATTGATGAAAGTAGGTAAACGGTCAGATATGACCCGGACACGACAGATGTATTGGTTTCATTCTCAAAATAACACTACATAAACCCCTGTATCAATTTTCTTTTGTTTTTTTCTTTTAATGTTTTCCGAAAAATGTCTTTGTTTAAAATGAATCCAAAAATATTACTCCATAACCATTTTTGTATATCTGCTGATAGAAAAATAATTCCACTGTTCTGTAAAGGGTGCAGCCTTGTCCTCTTCGTCACTGTCCTTCTCTCCTGCCTCCACAGTCTGATCGACTCCCTGAAGTTCTGGAGGACTCGCTTCCTCCTGCTGCCGGCAGGGGGAGCGAGGCGGGTGGCGGATGGGGAGGGGCACTGGGATGTGTATGGGGAGGGGGCAGGTTCTGGGATTGGAGGCAACGGGGACTGGGTCCTGCTGGACGGCTTCATCCGCTTCCTTGAGGGTCTCAACCGCATCCGGAGGAGACACCGCTCCGACAGGATCATCAGGGTGAGCCTCTCTCTGACAGCATGTTCCATCAAACTGATCCCTCACACTTTGCTTTTTATCTACTTTAAATGCATTTTGCTAATACTTCTGTTTTGTAAAGTCAAATTGTACTTAATGTCATTGATACTTTTTCTACCAGGTCTCGTTTTTTTATTGCATTTTATTTATTGTTGTTTTATAAAAGCTTTAGAGGCTACTTTAACTATTTTAATGTCAGGGTTATTGGCAGTTCTGGCACCACTGTTCTTGTGTTTTTGAGTCTTGTTGTCCCCTCACTCCCTGTTAGAGTTCAGCTTAGTTAGGAAATAATTAGTTGATTAAACACCCATTTTAATATCATTCAATTGTCATTTAAAATAATACTAATCATTCAATGGTTCAGGCTGTTTTATGACGCAGTAAACTGAGCAGTTTGGACTGTTGGTCAGCCAAAATAAGTCATTTAGAAAATTGTTTTTTTGGCTCTTTTCTGACATTTTTCTGTTTATAAAAATGATTTTCAAATGTAAAAATAACTAAGATATGTATATGTTTTAGCACTATATCATTGAATGTGCCTCTTGTATCAAATCACCTTGCAGAAGCCTGCAGACATTTGCAGACAGCCCTGGGACATGTTTCAAATGTGTCCCTGCTGAAGTTTCCAATCGAACGTAAACCATGCAAATGAAGTCTTCAAATGATCTAATGAAATATTGGCTTACAAAAATATGCATTGATCTCGGACAATAATACCACTGAACATGGGGCATCTCTTAACATTTGAATTAGAGCATCTTTCGCTTAAGAGGACTCTCCCTCTGTTCGTTTCATCCCAGCAGAAGGGCACCTCAATGAAAGGCCTGCAGGTCACCAGTCCTCTCCCGGCGTACCCCCCCGAGCCACTGGTGCCCCCACAGGGGAAGAAAGGCACTTCAGCCTTATCAGCCTTACTGGAGATGGAGCAGAACCAGAAGTGAGTGTCTCCTGCCAGACCAGCGTGTTGTTTGTAGTGATGATGAGAGCAAGCTTCATGAAGCTTTCAAGGTTTCCAGCCAATGGGTTTGTAAAGGGTTCGTTTCTCTTGTTTCATTCGCCAGTGGTGTAAAGTAACTAAGTACATTTACTTAAGTACAATTTTGATAGAATTGTACATTTCCTGCTACTTTGTACTTCTACCCTACTACAATTCAGAGGTAAATGGTGTACTTTGACTCCACTACATGTATTTAATACCTTTAGTACTCTACAGATTTGGATTAATGATGTGAAATATAATCAACACTTAAATCAGACTTTAGTTACAGAGTAAAAGAGGCAGATGTGACATCTCAAGAAAATGATTGTTGATGCACTGATTTCAGTTTGGGAATAATATATAAAAAAAATGAAATAAGTTGTATTTCCATGTAATCCACTGATATCACCTTCAGAGGAAACTTCATTTAGCTGACGCTTTTATTACTGCATCAGGGGTAGACATTAAGGGTAAAAAGCCACTGGCCCTCCGGGCATTCGTCCAAAACTTTTTGACTAATAATGAAGAAAATTAACACATTTGTTGCGATAGTAATTTATGCACTAACTACATTACTACTTGAACTACAACATTTGAATAATCAGTTCTTCCTAATTTTCCTCAATTGTTCATATTTGGTTTATTAAAATACCGTAATTTTCGGACTATAAGCCGCGCCTTTTTCCCTATTTTTCGACGCTGCGGCTTATATAACGGTGCGGCTAATCTATGGATTTTTACAGCTAACGGCCAACACCTTTAACTCTATGGGCTCTATGGCCGGTCCGCGGACCCCCACCTTTAAGCGGCGGGTTCCAGCAGGAAAAGCTGGAGGCCGGAAAAGAGTGAGACAGGTAGCGCGCAAAAGTAAAAGTGGAACCGAGAGTGGTATGCCGCTGCTGCGGCTTATATTCAGGTGCGGCTTATAGTCCGAAAATTACGGTAATGATATTGTGGTCATTGTTAAAAGATGTCTGCTATTATTATGAGTATTATTATTTGTATAATGCACTTTCTGCCTTCCTGTCATTAGGAGTTCGAAATGTAATGGCTATAGATTAGATTAGAACCTTCATTATCCTAAACTGCTGGGACATTTCCCTATAGCCAATACCTTTTATATTTTCTACTCTTCATTTACTTGTCAGCATAGGTCGGCATTGATGTACAGAGCCGACAGAAGACCTTGTTTATATTGGCATTATATTGAGAGGTGCAGTGACGCGTCCTAAAACCAGGAAGTAAGCTGCTGGTTCCCTCGACAAAAAGCAATGGGATTTCTGCACAGGGTTTTGGAAAATAGCTGGAAAT